GGAGGAGGAGGAGGAGGAGGAAAAGGAGGAGGAGGAGGAGCGGAGGGGGAGGTGGAGAGGGGGGGGACGGGGGGGCGGAGGAGAGAGAGGGAGGAGCGGAGGATGAGGAGGAGGAGAGGAGGAGGAGAGAGGGGAGGGGGAGGAGAGGGGGAGGAGGAGCAGAGAGGAGGAGGAGGAGGAGGAGAGAGGAGGCGGAGGAGGAGGAGGAGGGGAGGAGGAGGAGGACCAGTGTAAACCCAGGAGTCATCAACGATATTGGAATAAACCCTCCCTCCAAGCTCCCTCTTCGCAGGCCCCTACAACGGTTCATTTCCACTGAGGGAGCTGCCTCGATGGAAGACACCCGTTTGAAGACCCTGAAGCATGCCAAAGCATTGTGCTCGGGATTCCATAGCCACGGATCAACCTGACGGTTGCGTCTTAACAATCCTGAATCGTGCCAGATCGCCGTTCCCGGAACTTCAGCACCGCAAAGCAACGTACTTGTTGAACCATAATGCATAAGCCTTCCAAAACACCATCTCTGGTACGCTGATCATACGATTCCATAAAACGCTTGCAAAATCAAAAATCGAATGTGCGCGGCGCTGAAGCAGGAACCATATGTTGAAGAAGAACCGCCCTCAATCCATGACACGCTTGCAGTCTTTCTGATTTTTTGGAACAGAAAAACACGTGTGCGCGGCGCTAAGGCGAGAACCACATTTTGAAAACAGGTCGCCCTCAATCCGTGAAACTCTTGCAACTGATTAAAAAAGGAGTGTACACGGCGCTAGGGCGAGAGCCACTGTTTGAAAACGGGCCGCCCTCAATCCGTGAAACTCGTTCAAGCGCTAAAATCGAATGTGCGCCGCACTAAGGCGAGAGCCACATTTTGAAAACGGCCCGCACTCCATCTGTGAAACTGTTGTCAACGTTTACGATTCAGACTCATAACTGGTGAGGAAGTATCAAGCGAAACGCCTGGCCCGCCCTAAAACTGGCCTCGGGGTGCGACAGGGAGAAATCATGTCTAAGGAAAAGGAATGGAGGAGGAGGAAGAGGTGGAGAAGAAGAGGGAGGAGGCTGAGAAGGAGGCTGAGAAGGAGGGAGAGGAGGAGGATGAGGAGGAGGAGGAGGCGGAGGAGGAGGAGGAGGAGAGGGGGGAGGAGAGGGAGGAGGAGGAGGAGGAGGAGGGGGAGGCGGAGAGGGGGGAGGAGAGGGAGGAGGAGGAGGAGGAGGAGGAGGAGGAGGAGGAGGAGGAGGAGGAGGGGGAGGCGGAAGAGGAGGAGGCGGAGGAGGAGGAGGAGGAGGTGGAGCCCAGAGTGGGGGGCAGCAGCGCGCTCGCGCATCCAGTGTCTTGCGTTTTTCCCAGCACGGGGTCCCTGAAGATTCTGACCCTTTCCCCGGGGCCGGCTCGTCATCCCGAGCCGTCTGTCGACGACCCCAGGGGCCTGGCCAGGGCCCCCCCCCCAAGGCCGAAAACAAACGGCCCGAGGCCTTCTGTGATGAGCTCTCGCGACGCGAGCACGTCTGGGCGGGTATAGATCGAACGTCGGTCGCCGATACGGCAGGTTCGCGTCGTGCCGACTTCGTCGATGGCTTCTGACATCGCGGGGGTCGTTCAACCTTGAACAATCTGACTACCTACCAGAAGACACGAATTTCGGGTTGGGGGGGGTACGGGTTCCATATGTGTTTTTTGTAAGTGTTCCCAGACCCCCCCCACACTGGAAATGGAGGGCAAATTCGGGCCTTCGGGTTGGAGTGGGGTGGGTTGGTGGGTGGTGACAATCGGCCGCTTTCGAAACGTCAGACCCTTCAGCATCGACCAAGTCTGGGTCGCCGGCGGTGTTCCACGCGGAACGCCAGCGGCGGGGTCGCCGCCGGTCGGCACGGCGAGAACCCATCGCACCCAGCGGGTGCCTTCGAGCGCTTCGGCCGAGACCGGGCGGGCAGCCTCGGACGCCAGGGCCAGCCTCGCAGGCGCAGTGGCGGGCGCACCGCGCGGGGGATCGCTCGGGCGGCGGGACCGCTGCCTCGTCGGGAGGCCCGCGGGAGCTCCTCCTCCTCCTCCTCCTCCTCCTCCTCCTCCCTCCTCCCCTTCCTCCTCCTCCATCCTCCTCCTCCTCGTCCTCCTCCTCCTCCTCCTCCTCCTCCTCCTCCTCCTCCAGGATGAGGACAAACTTCGGGCGGAGATAAACCGGGAGCTCTGAGAGCCGGCGGGTCTGGAGGAGGCCTCGGGCGCCGCGGCCGCCCGCGAGGCACTCCAGGACGCTCTGGCAGCGCTCGGAAGCACACTGGAGCGGACGCGCGAGGAGTGCGAAGACGTGGAGTCCTGGGCTTGGGCTGAAAGTGCGCCAGGGATCTCCGAGGGGAGGGTGGCCGAGAAGCCAGTCGGCTGCATCAGCTTCTGGAAAACTTGGGCCCGGCGTGTTGCAGACATTTCCTCGAAGCGGAAGACGAGAGAGAAAGAGAGGCAGAGAGAGAGAGAGCTAAAGACAGAAGAAAGAGGAGGAGGAGGAGGAGGAGGAGGAGGAAGAGGAGGATAAGGAGGAGGAGGAGGAGCAGGAGGAGCAGGAGGAGAGGAGGAGGAGGAAAAGAAAGAGGAGGAGGAGGAGGAGGAGGAGGAGGAGGCCGGGAGGAGGCGGAGAAGGAGGAGGAGGAGGAGGAGGCAGGGGAGGAGGCGGAGGAGGAGGAGGAGGAGAAAGGAGGAGGAGGAGGAGGAGGCAGGAGGGCAGGAAGGAGGAGAAGGAGCAGAGGAGGAGGGGAAGGGGAGGAGGAGGAGGAGGAGGAAGGAGGAGGAGGAGGAGGAGGAGGAAGAGAGAGAGAGAGAGGAGACAGAGATAGAGAGAGTTGCAGTGCCCCTGCTGGTTGACAGGAGACTGCCTCTCGACCCATGCTCTCCAGTGCGGCGGGCGCGTGGACCTTCTGAGCCCGGAGGCGCCCCTGGAGGCATCCCAAGTGTGGCCCGACCAGACGGGGTCGCATGGTCGCACCACATCGCCGATCCCCTCCTCCTCCTCCTCTCCTCCCTCCTCCTCCTCCTTCTCCTCTCCTCCCCTCCTCCTCCTCCCTCCTCCACCTCCTCACTCCTCCTCCTCTCCTCCTCCCCCTCCTCCTCCTCCTCCTCCTCCTCCCCCTCCTCCTCCTCCTCCTCCTCCTGCGACGTCGGGGTGGCCCCGCATCGAGAGGCACCGCCGATGCATCGGCGACGTGGCGCGAGCCTGCGACCCCACCTGGCCAGGAGCAGTGGATATGTATAGATCTCGTCGCCCCATACTCGGACCCATCAGGGAGGCCTGGAGCCTTCCAAAGATCCGCGCCCAGTGGCACCGAGGGGGAGGGCGCGGGCAGCCCGAGACGCGAGCGGGATCTGCGTGGGACCCTGGCCGAGGCAGGGCCTGCGCCGCTCCGGCCCAGAACGGAGGAGAGCGCGGTCGTCGCTCGCACGGCCAGGGACATCAGACGAGCCGACCAGCGAGGGCTCAGAAACGTGGAGGAATCTGTCGCCAGATTGACGAGATCGTCCATCCTACGCAAGCGCCGCCCAGATGACAGGCATCCCGGGCCCCGAGAGGGACCCCCAATGCAGACACGCTTCTCGAATCATCTCGAGTGTTACCGCAAAGACCCACAAGTGTCACCCTACTCCGGTGCGCGCCGCCCCCTGGAGGGCCGTCTTGAACGCCGGCCTGCAGCGGCACGCAGTGCCCACGCGAAGGCACCGTCCAAGCGATCCCCGTCCCCACTGGCGTGGCCTGGGCCCCACTGGCCAGCGTACCCACCTGCGTGGGGCCGTGCGCTGCTCCCTTCGGGCCCCGCGGGGCCCATGTACAGTCGGGGCGTTGACCTAAGGAACCCTAAATAAGGAACGAGGCCCCTTTTTTCCACAAGTTAAACTTCGATTTCCGATCGAAAACATAAGGAAAACCTGAGGCAAGCTGCGAAACACTTAAGGAACGCGGAGCCCCTCCCCAACCAAAAGGGTTCCTTCTTCAGGGCCCCGACTGTAACCCCCACCTGTGGGGGTGGGCTGGTGGGGCTGAGATGCAATGGCCCGGTGGGGATGGGGATCGGGCAGGCGATGCTGGGAAGGGGCGAGGGCTGAGGCTGAGGGTGGCTGGCCATCGCTCGGACGTCCATTCCCTGTGTTGTTGTCGGTTTCGTGCGTGGTTTTGTTCGCCAGATGATCACGGATGCTCCTCGATGGTCCTCGCCGAAGGAAAAATGCACACGTCCGAGCGATGCCAGGGTGGGGGGGAAGAGATTGGAGGGGTGCCCTGATCTCCCAGCTGCGACCGCGGGCTCTGCGAAGGCGCCCCACTGGGGAGACGAAGCGCTGCCATCCCGGGCACGGCCAGGCTGAATGGCAGTGGCGCCTTCGGTGGTGAAGGTGCGGGGAGCGGGCTGCTCTCAGATGTCCGGGGGAAAAGGCCGCCTCTGAGCATTGCTTCACCGATCTCCATCCCCACTGGCATGGCACTGGCCTTGCGGATGCCATGACAATGGACACCCTAACAATCCTATCATTGAGTTAATGATGTGTTATAACTGCTTGAAGATTTTTAATATGCTTGAAACACGCTTTTTACGTGTTGAAAACATGTTTGAAGCGCGGACATGTGGACATTTTTTGGCAACGTGCTTCCTCGCCGTTGATCGCCGTCCACAACACTGGCCCCTCGGGCCGATGTACCGCCCCGCCCGCGAGATGGGGATGCGTGGGCGTCCTCCTGCGGGACTCGCGGGGCCCAGCCCTGGGCAGGTTGGGGCCATCGGGCACCTATCGGCGATCAATGGGCGACTAGGGGTCGATGCATTCCCCCCCTATGCCTATCCCCCGATCACTGCCACTGACTGAAGTTTGGGACGATGTCTCCGTGCTTGACTTCTCACGACGCTGCGACTTGTGCACAGCGTCGAAGACTTGGGAAGCTTCGGGGGAGAGCACAAGCCGAAGTGAGCGAGGGCAGAACAGAAGCCTTGAAGCCCCAGACCAGAAAAACCTTTTGCTGAGGGCACGGCGGCTTTACTGCACACATCGCAACGGCTGCGCAGTCTCCGTACAAACTCATATTCCTCAATCACTACTCCCAGCCCTCGTAGCCTGTCGCTCGGCGGTGCTGCGCCAGGATGGGCATCGCAGAGGAGGAGTTGCACACTGTTGACGATGCAGCCCACCTTCTCCGCCAGACCGTCCAATAACCAAACGCCGAAGGAGCCGTTGACGTTGTGCAGCACCTTCGCGGCGAGAAGGTCCATCGCCATGAATCCAAACGTCTTGGAGGCGCCCAGGAACGTTGTCCTCGGCAACAGACTTTTGCATCCACCATCCCTCCTCACTCTCACATGATGAAGGGGCCCTGGGACACACAAACACATGCGCACGAACCACAGGATTCCCCATATTTCCCCATGTGTTCTGGATCTTCGTCTTCCACCCCCCCACACACTTACCACATTTTCCCATACTTTCCAGGGGGTCGACGATTCATTGCGTCTGCGTGCTCCTCCCCGTCCTGAAGTCGGGAGCGGCCAAGAGGGGGATGTCCAAGAGGGGGGGTGTGAAATAAGAAGAGGCGCCATGAAATCTGGGGAAATATCATGGCCCACGCCATGATATCCACCCCCCCCTAGTCATCACCCCCCTCTTTTCCGCCCCCGATGAAGAGGATCCTCTCCGTCTGCCGCCTCCCCTCCTGCCCGGCGCCGCTGCACCGCCGGGGGGCCCGGGCGGTGCCCGGGCACCCCGGCCTGGGACGCCCGCCCCCGCCCGGGGGTCTTCTCGGATACCCCCGCGGTCTGCAAGAGGTGCTCTTAGGTCGGGCGCGTCCCGCCACAGGCGGATTTTGGACGAACGATAACGAACAGTCAAGCTCGAAACATCGTCCCAAGACTATGTTTTGGGTATCTTCGAATACTCCTCCCGTAGAGGGACGTGCCCGACTCAAAACCACTGCCACTCGGTGGCGCAGCGTGAACTCGTCGTAGCATGACATGGGCCAGAAGACCAGCCGAACGCCGGGAAGGAGTTGGGGCAGGAGCGGCTAAGTCTTTGTCCAAACTTCACCAAGTCTCCACAGCACCAACAGAGTCGGTTCCCTGACTGCCAACTGGTACATGGTTCAGCTTCATGAAATTCAAGTTTCTTCCGAGAAACTTGTCTTTACCTGGACCACATCATAACTCTAATGCGGGTCTCGCTCAGTCTGGTTTAGGCGAGCTGATACGACAAGCGTTTTCCAACTTCACCTCATGAGCCAGAAAAACAGGAATCACACGTTGAAGAGAAGTGCATGGCGGTGCGCCATGCGGAAGACCGCGCATCCTTGCCTTTCGCGATTTCTGCGTTCATCGCCGTCACCGCCTTTGCCGTCTGGTAGCAGAACATGGCACGACGGCTAAGCACAGTTGCCGTGAAGCATCGCCTGGAGGGCCACGAAATCGGTCTTCGGGGACACGTTTCACGGCCTCCCGTGGCACAGCGCCACACGGCACTGGCTCCAGGCAAGGACGTCTGAGCTCGGGGCACACAGCACCTCGCCACACCGCAAAACACAACCTGGTGGCACCTCTGGGCAGTGAAGTCGGCCCTGGGCCCAGAGCTGCCCAGCACGAACTCCTCGGGCCGCTGCCTCGGACACGTGCACTGGAACGGAGGCGGAGCTGGTGCGGGAGAAGCGAGAGAGCGGGCGGGGGACGGGGGACGGGGGGAAGGGGGAGATGCAGAGAACGTGACATGGGCCCAGTCATACGACGAGCTGATCTCTTCACAGTGCGCAGCCACAGAGAGGCCCCGAAGCCCTCTCCCCATCGATGGCCTGCCGCCCTGGATCCGACAGGATGGCTCGGGGCCCCCCGGCGGCCTCCCGAGGCCGAAGCCTGGGAACGCAACGCCCAGATTGCCAGAACAGGTCGTGGGCGATCTGGGGGGATGGCGCAGGGTGCCCAGGGAAGAGGGGCGGAGAGAAGGTATTCCAAATTGCGGAATAAGATAAGAGGGAGGGGGTCACAACCCTCTCAGACGAGCAGTTTTAACCCCCCCCGGACCAGCCATGAAAGGGCGGCCTTTTGCCCAGACCCCACTGGAACCCTCCACGACAGCTCAGATCAGACCCCCAAAAAAATCAGACCACCACCCTTTTATTGTGAAATCCGGAGTAGCCTGGTTGCTTCCGCCGGGTCGGACCAGCCGCTGCTCTACTCCTGCCGCCCTCCGCGGGCCCTCCGCCGCCTCTTCTGCCAGGGGGAGGGGTGCGTCCTCGAAGGCGGGGCCCTTCTGGAGCGCCCCAAGTGGGGATGGCGCAGGGTGCTGCCGTACAGTCGGCCCGTATCACAGGGATGCGCGGAAAGGCTTCAAGGGCCTGGGATGCCCATTTCAAAGCTTTTGTTCGAAGGGAGCGCGGCCAACGAAAGTGCCCAAGGATGCACCGAGGAGGCGAGGATGCTTGGGAAGGCAGCCCATCCTTCCTATGCGGATCGACCGTAAGGAGGGGGGACGATTCAGGGGGGCCGGCTCGGTGGGGGGAAACATCAGCCCGACGATGCCTCTCCGAGAGATCGGCGACCGGCCCCCGCTCGCGCTGCGTCACGGCCCTGGGCGGGAGGGGCCTCTCGAGCGCCCGTCGGCGACGGAGGAGCGACTGAGGGGATCGATGCCTCCGCCCCTGAGCCTCTCCGCCTTCCAGTGTCTCCCAGACTCTTCAGTTGGCTCCCTCCTCTCCTCCGCCTGCAGCTTGGGCTCGCGCGCAGGAGCGAGCCGCGACCCGCCCGCGTCCACCCTTGGGGGCGCGGTCCTATCGGAAGCGCTCCAATGGAAAACGACAGGAGTGGGAGGCAGGGGACCAATCGCCGACGTTGCCCCTGATAGGGTGCCACATGCGAACCCTGCCCCTGCCCCCCGCGATTCCTGAGGGGGAGGGCGGGGTTCACTTCGCTCGGGAGCGCCCGAGCGAATACGAAGGGGGGGGGTAGGGGTAGGGGGGTAGGGGGGCAGAGTAGGGGGTAGAACCCTACCCCTCCCCCTCAGAAGTCGTGGGGGGCAGGGGCAGGGTTCGCAGGTGGCCCCCCTACCTGAGCAGGAGGGGGGCAGGAGGGCAGAGTCGGAGCGAGTCCTGTCCGTGTGGAACTCGCCCCACTTGGCGGCCCACGTCCGCGCGGAGCTGGCGGCCACGCCGGCCACGAACAGCCAGCCGAGCGTCTGGCAGCGGCGCCGAGGGAAGGCGAGGCCGCGCTGCTGCTCGCGGCGCGCGCCAGGAGGGGGGGGGAAGGCAGCGGGGGCCCAGAATTAAGTCGGGCCTGTCCCCCTACAGGAGGGGGTTCGACGAAAAATTAAAAATACGCAAAAAGAAATCCAAAATAGTCCAAGAATAGTCTGGGGACTACTTTTTGCATATTTTCTGCCCATTTTAGGGCATGTATTTTTGGGTGTTTTTTGCATTTTCCGTCGAAAATCTCCCTGTAGGGGGACACGCCCGACTTAAGCCCAGAGCTCCAACGCACTGAAAAAAAAACGGACGGGGGCATTTTCCGTCGCCTTCGGAGTCCAGGGGCCTCCGCTGGTCCAGGACCCGTCAAAAAAACTGTCCCGGGCGGAAAAAAAACGATCCCCCGGAAGTGGTCCAGAGATCTGGGCAGGGAGGATCACAAAACTGACAGGCCTGGAGGTTGACACCAACACCAGTATCGGCGGTGTGCCTCCACCGAGGGAAGAGGATCCGGATCTCGGTGATGGTGGTCATATTCTGGCTGCCAAGGTGACCGCCATATTACCACCAACACCGAAATCCAGGATCATCTTCCCCCTGTGGCGGCAACCCCCTCGTGTTGGTGTTGGTGCCCATTTCCAGGCCTCCAAAAAACATCAGGGTCTGGGACTCTGCGTAGCCACAGGAACTTCAGGGCATCTGAGAAGCCCCGCCACCTTCTGAGAAGGCCTGCCTCCTCGGGCTTCCCCCCTCGGCGCGCTACCGATTTTACCCCAATCGACATGCCTGCTCGAGGGATCGAACAGACATGGCAATGGGCAACGACTAAAAAGACCATAGAAACGACAGGGCAATCCATCCGGACTTAACACCTGTCAGAGGCCGACGGCCGAAAGGTATTTAGCTATTCTGGGCTGGGATGTCGGTTGCGGTCTCCTCGGTTCCTTTGATTCCTCGTCCCCCAACGTGGGGAACCAATCTGATCACGCAGGTCGCAGGCCGGGCGCGTCATGTGAAAGACGGTTGCCCGGTCAAACTCGCCCAACTATGACGAGAGGGACTAAATACACGCGGCACCGCGCCGAACCCATGCCCAGGCCCATAAGCTTCATGCACACGACGCGGCTCGGGCGCCAGAGAGAATCTTCGCCAGCGAGAAACCCCGAGCAGACAAGAGCGCGCCACACTTGGCGCCCATCCTGGCCTGGTCCTGCGGCATACTCTTCGGGGGCGGCCAAGAGGGGGGGCGTCCAAGAGGGGAGGGGGGGGGGGTGGGGGGGGGGGGGGGGGGGGGGGGGGGGGGGGGTGGGGGGGGGGGGGTGGGTGGGGGGGGGGGGGGGGCAAATCATGGCCGGAGGCACGTGCGCGGCCAGGGGGGGGGCGGGGACGTACTGAGATAAGACGAGGCGTCATGAAATCTGAGGAGATATCACGGCCCCCGCCATGATGTCCACCCCCCCTAGTCCTCCCCTCTTCTCTGCCGCCCCCGAATACTCTGGCCTGGTCCAGCGTCATACTCTGCCACGGCACGGCGCGGGGTGCCATAACAGTGGTGCGAGAGCGAACTGCCTCTGCGGGCTGAGTGCGGGCAGACGGGATGCTCGCGCGACAGTGCGGCCCAGGATTCCCGCGCGGCCTCTCGGTCCAGGGTGCCACGAAAAGAAGAGCGCAGGGCCCTCCAAGCTCCCTCTTCATGGGCTCCTACAAGGATTCATTTTCACTGAAGGAAGTGCCCCGTTGGAAAACAACCGTTTGAAAAGATCCTGAATGGTGCCAGTACCACGCAGGCGGCTGGGACGTGAGAACCCTCGCCAATTCAGGGATGGCGACCTGGGGGCCCCCCATTCCAGAATCTGGAGCCCACCCCCCACCGCTGCAAAGAAGGGTACGGCCGAGGTCATGGTGCGCAGTGTCGCAAAATCGACGGAGAGGAGTGGAAAAAAGGTTCGTGGCACCCACCACCCTTGCGAGGGATACGGATGCAGTACAAACCTCGAAGCTCTTGCGCACGACTGGCTCAAAGCACTGGCAGGATGAGGAATCCATAACCACCTGGTACACACATGGGGCGCTGGGCAAATTCAAAAAGGCGACAGAACTCGGGTGCTTGGCGTCAACGACCTGCGTGCGCGGTACGATATCGAATTGTGCGGAGTAGCGTTGACGGTGCACGCCACGCGCCTTTTACTCGTACATCTCTACCACCGGCGGTGGGGACACACGTGAAGTGGAAATGGCTCGGGCGAGCCTCATCTGTGTTTGCAGTAAGCCGCGCAGTGTATTGTTGGACCGACCAGCACACCTAATGACTGTCGATCCAGCTGGGACAGTATGTGGCTTGAGCACGGTCCGCAGCTACGGTGATGGGGTCGCAAGGGTCGAGCACGGTTCGATGATGGAGGAGATGTGCACCCAGGAGGGCAACAAACTCGTAGACAGCACGGCGACAAAATTATCCGAGCATGCTTGCAAAGGCTTTGGAAAGGCGCAGGGTGCTTGGAAGAGGCTGTCCCTTGATTGCCGCACGCAGCACGCACTGGGTGGCACCTGCGGTCAGACATCGCACCGCGCTTTAGACGAGCTGGGCGCGAGCCACCAAGCGATGGTGGCGACACACTGCTACGAAGGATACGAGTGGGCGGGTAAGAGCGAGCCTCTCTGGTAAATCGATACTACGAACGATATGCTGTCAGCATCCAAATGCGCAGGCAGTCTGGAGAGGCTTCCGCACTGCATGTCTCAGCACCCAGAAATCATGCACCGACCAGTTACACACGACTTACTCGACTGCTTGTTCGACTCGCCACCTCGCTTGGGCCAGCAGAAAGCCACGCCCCACGCGCCCGCAGCGGTCCATCCGCGCACGCACCCCCCCCGCTCCCCGCGCCGTACCTGCCAACTCTCCCCGAGGAGGGCGTAATCAGCAAACCCTCGGGCGTGGTGGATGTGGCCTGCGACCAGTCTGGAGTTCACGCCCGAGCACTCCCGTCTGTAATCGCAGCAGTTACGTACGGCAGGTTCGTGTCGTGCCTACTTCGACGCTGCTTTCTGACACCGCGTGGATCGTTCAAACTCGAACGATCGGCGGCTTTCCGATATCCAGATTGTTTCCCATATCCTAAGATGGGGTTGTTGTTATTATTTGGACGCCTCCTACTCCTCCTTCTCCTTCCTCTTCTCGTCCCCTTTCTCGTCTCCCCATACAAGACTTACTCATGTCCAGACTTACTCACACACAGACTCACTCATACTGAGACCTACTCACACTCAGATTTACTCATGCCCAGGCGTACACATCAACAAACTTACTCATACACAGGCTTACCCATATTCAGGCGGGTCTCAGGCGGGGCGCTGGTTTCAGCACCCCTAAGGGGCGCCGGCAGGGGTATTTGCACTGGCCCGTTCGCGGCCAGTTTGTGGGGATGTCTTGGGCGGTTTGCTCGTTTTCATGCCCAACATCCTTGGCTTTCAGAGCAGATTTTGAGGATGTCTCAGGCGGGGCGCTGGTTTCAGCACCCCTAAGGGGAGCCGCCAGGGGTGTTTGCACGGGCCCGTTCGCGGCCAGTTTGTGGGGATGTCTCAAGCGGCTTGCTCGTTTTCATGCCCAACATCCTTGGTTTTCAGAGCAGGTTTTGAGGATGTCTCAGGCGGGGCGCTGGTTTCAGCACCCCTAAGGGGAGCCGCCAGGGGTGTTTGCACGGGCCCGTTCGCGGCCAGTTTGTGGGGATGTCTCGGGCGGTTTGCTCGTTGTCATGCCCAACATCCTTGGCTTTCAGAACAGGCTCTGAGGATGTCTCAGGCGGGGCGCTGGTTTCAGCACCCCTAAGGGGAGCCGCCAGGGGTGTTTGCCCGGGCCCGTTCGCGGCCAGTTTGTGGGGATGTCTCGGGCGGTTTGCTCGTTTTCTTTCAAGCCCAACATCCTTGGCTTTCAGAACAGATTGTGAGGATGTCTCAGGCGGGGCGCTGGTTTCAGCACCCCTAAGGGGAGCCGCCAGGGGTGTTTGCACGGGCCCGTTCGCGGCCAGTTTGTGGGGATGTCTCAAGCGGTTTGCTCGTTTTCATGCCCAACATCATTGGCTTTCAGAGCAGATTTTGAGCATGTCCCGCCTGTTTTCAGCACCCCTAAGGGGAGCCGCCAGGGGTGTTTGCACGGGCCCGTTCGCGGCCAGTTTGTGGGGATGTCTCAAGCGGCTTGCTAGTTTTCATGCCCAACATCCTTGGTTTTCAGAGCAGGTTTTGAGGATGTCTCAGGCGGGGCGCTGGTTTCAGCACCCCTAAGGGGAGCCGCCAGGGGTGTTTTCACGGGCCCGTTCGCGGCCAGCTTATGGAGATGTCTCAGGCGGTTTGTTTTTTCTCAAGCCCAACATCCTTGGCTTTCAGAGCAGGTTTTGAGGATGTCTCAGGCGGGGCGCTGTTTTCAGCACCCCTAAAAGGAGCCGCCATACGGGTGACCCATACTCACCCACTCGCATTAGGGTTCACTCGTCTTCGTCGGCCCCGTCGCCCATGTGGGCGCGCTATGATGATCAAACGCTCATGAACAGACGCTCACTATGGCATGGCATAAAACATGCACATATGGGGAGCTCCACGCAATGAGCAATTCCATATCAGAGGACTCTGGACCGCTGGCGGCGCTCAACCATGAACGCCCGACGAGGTCGCAGCCGGTCGGCATGACGCGAACCTACCAGAGAGGCATGCTGGGACCCATCCGCTGGGCTCCAGTGGCCCGAAGCGTCCCTCCAGGGGATGTGATGGCACGCCGCCCCCCCCTCTCCAGTGCAGCACAGCTCTCGGAGGCTGCGCTCCTCCGAGGTCTGACGGCAAGAGCACCCAGGCGATCGAGACTCCAGGAAACCACCTTCCGTTCCGAGGCTGTCTGGCTTGTGGGGCACTGATTAATGAGGGGGCGAAAATGGGGGGGGGGGGGGGGAGGCCAGAGGAGGGACCCCTTCATCGGGACACACTGCCAACACCCCTCTGCTGCCGGCTCCCAAA